AAACCTAGAAAAATAATCGGGGCAAACCTGGATTCGAACCCACAATCATAAGGTTTCTGGCATGCCCAAGGGACGCAACTCTGCCTACGAATCGTGGTGCCTTAGACGACTGGGCCACCCATGCCCCCTGGTATAATGAACAAGGGAGATAATTCTATTGATAAGTTCTTTAATGCAATGAATGTGTAGATACTAACACTGTATATATTATAAAGCATGTAATATACCACATAAAAATTGAGCAGATTGATCTTATCCATTTTTCATGTTTTTCTTTAGTATCACCTTGCGAATACTAGTTATGTGCAACAAGTTTCAATATCTTTGTCATTGATGATTACTGCAATAATATTTGAAACTCGAACCCTTTAAATCTGTAATTCCGAACAGCTTGGTTATGACAAGGACTCCCTGACTTTCATGCCTAATTTGGACTACTGAGCGTGATGTGCATGTTTGACAGGTGAAGGTAGACACACTCACAGATGTTGTCTTAAACGCGCTCACATCACGGAGAAAGGATCAGCTTCAAGCCTGTTTCAATAATTCACGCACAATTTTGATGATGCAACACCAGGCAAGGAGGATGACTCACAGTGCTGACACCTGAACTATTTACTCTTTAAATTTGAAATTCAAAAGAAAGAATCACGCAAATGAGGAAACATTACTTAAGTGAACAAAGTGGCTGATGCAATATTGGCAATTAGTGATGAAATGACATGTATTTTTAAATTTTATTGTGGACATTTTGACAAGAAGCATTGACTTTTATTGATTGAGTTTGTCTGAAATTTGTTCAGTCAATCTTGGGGGACATAAAAGAAACGTCTCTGTATTGAATTGCACCTTAATTTCAACCACCATTCCCCCAGTGTCTGTTGTGTCTAGCCCAGTGAGAACATTGTTGCATGTTGTGAGTTCTTTGAGTGGCATTTAGAAGTTGGAATGGTAACTAAGACAAAATTGTTATGGATGAGCAACTTCTTTATTACAATTGGGCGACGATTCGGTGTAGATTCTAACTTCATTTGCTTGATAACGGTGTTAGAATCTACATCGAAACGTCGCCCAATTGTAATAAAGAAGTTGCTCTTCCATAACAATTTTGTCTTAGTTATGTTGTGAGTTGTGGCGAGTATGGACTATGATGCAATACTTGATTTTAATATTTGGGAAATAAATCTTTAATCAACACCAAGGTGTCTGGTATGTCAAGGTCTATGTGAAGATTGTCTGATGTTGTGAATTGTGGAGGGTATGATGCAAGACTTGATTATATTATTTTGGAAATAAATTCTTAATTAATACCAAGATGTCTGGTATGTCAAGGTCTATGTGAAAATTGTCTGATGTTGTGAATTGTGGAGGGTATGATGCAAGACTTGATTATATTATGTGGGAAATAAATCCTTAATTAAAACCAAGGTGTCTGGTATGTCAAGGTCTATGTGAAGATTGTCTGATGTTGTGAATTGTGGAGGGTATGATGCAAGACTTGATTATATTATGTGGGAAATAAATCCTTAATTAAAACCAAGGTGTCTGGTTTGTCTCACCAAGCCTGAAAATTGTCTGAGGGGTTGAGTTGTGGAGATGATGATGATGCAATACTTGATTTATATGGGAAATAAATCATTTGAGGTTGAATCAAACCAGCAGCTTATAGGTATACTTTGGACATGTAGTTTTCTCTTCCCATTTTTTTTTCAAGCACTGTCTGGTCAAGCCTTGATTATTTACAGACCGCCATCATATAGCTGTAACATTGCTGAGTGCAGCATTAAACAAACAAAATATTATCATGATTGTTATCAAGGGTTGTCTGTTCCTGATGTGATTATTTACAGACTGTCGTCATATTCCTGTAATATTACTGAGTGCGGCATTGAACAAACAAAACATTATCAGGATTGTTATATAGGATTGTCTGTTCCAGACTTGATTATTTACAGACTGTCGTTATATTCCTGTAATATTGCTGAGTGCGGCATTAAACAAACAAAACATTATCAGGATTGTTATCAAGGATTGTCTGGTCCAGATGTGATTATTTACAGACTGTCGTCATATTCCTGTAATATTGCTGAGTGCGGCATTAAACAAACAAAACATTATCAGGATTGTTATATAGGATTGTCTGTTCCAGACTTGAATATTTACAGACTGTCGTCATATTCCTGTAATTTTGCTGAGTGCGGCATTAAACAAACAAGACATTATCAGGATTGTTATCAAGGATTGTCTGGTCCAGATGTGATTATTTACAGACTGTCGTCATATTCCTGTAATTTTGCTGAGTGCGGCATTAAACAAACAAAACATTATCAGGATTGTTATCAAGGATTGTCTGTTTCAGACTTGATTATTTACAGACTGTCGTCATATTCCTGTAATATTGCTGAGTGCGGCATTAAACAAACAATTCATTATCATGATTGTTATCAAGGATTGTCTGGTCCAGACTTGATTATTTACAGACTGTCGTCATATTCCTGTAATATTGCTGAGTGCGGCATTAAACAAACAAAACATTATCATGATTGTAATCAAGGATTGGGGGCGGTCGGGTAGCCTAGTGGTTAAAGTGTTCGCTCATCACGCCAAAGACCAGGGTTCAATTCCGACATGGGTACAATGTGTGAAGCCCATTTCTGGCGTCCCCTGCCGTGATATTGCTGGAATATTGCTAAAAGCGACGTAAAACCAAACTCATTCACTCACTCACTATCAAGGATGGTCTGTTCCAGACTTGATTATTTACAGACTCGTGTCGTCATATTCCTGTAATTTTGCTGAGTGCGGCATTAAACAAACAAAACATTATCATGATTGTTATCAAGGATTGTCAATCAGAATTGAAAGTGAAAACCTTCCACAATTTATCCTCCGAAACATTGATCAATTGAAACATTTAAAAGTTAGTGTCATATTGATTCCGAAACAAAACTACAGCTTGCTGGCTGGTATCCACATGTTGAGAGCTCCATCTGTACCACTGTCAATATTTATGCTTAGATTGGCCTGGTTTGTTCGCTCGACTTGATTGATGGTCATAGTGGTAGCGATATAGTAGTTTTCATCTTTGGTCCAATCAAAAATGTTCAGAAGCCTAAAAATACTGGTGAAAAGGATATAGGAAGCCTACATATTTCAAAACTGTCTGGCTTAGAGATTTTTAGATTATTACAAGACCGCTGATTTTCTCAGAATCTGTGCGGCTGTCTTATCTTGATAGCAAGTTGAACATTGTGTTTCATCAATGTGCAAAGTATACTCATCCTAACTCGTGGTTTATTGAGATACATGTAATCAATGATTGAGCAGAGGTTCCAAACGATCCTACAAAAAAATGTTGTTTGTTTGTTGTTTAACGCCGCACTCGGCAATATTGCAGCTATATGACAACGATCTGTAAATAATGAAGGCTGGACCCGACAATCTAGTGACTGACATCATGAGCATCATTCCAAGCAATTGGGATACGATGACATGCATCAACCAAATCAGCGAGCCTGACCACCTGATCCTGTTAGTCGCCTCTTATGGCAAGTATAGTCACCTTTTACAGCAAGCAGGGGGGCACGGCTGGCCGAGTCGTCTAAGGCGCCACGATTCGCTGTGCAGAGTTGCATCCCTTGGGCACGCCAGAAACCCATGATTGTGGGTTCGAATCCCGGTTCACCCCAATTATGTTTCTAGGTTTGTCAGCACCATACCCGTGCTCGTGGGTTTTACCAAAGTGGTAAACGTCTGAGACCTGCATTGCTTCGGGCTTTCCTCCCACATTAAGCTGACACGCCGTGATATAACTGGAATACTGTTAGAAGCGGCTCTAAACCCAACTCACTCACTAACCCAATTTTACAGCAAGCATGGGTTGCTGAAGACCTGCTCTACCCCGGATGTTTTATTAAGGTTTATTTACTACCTAGTACTAGGATGCTATCAGATTAACTCTGATGATCATTTGGTTAGGATGGTCAGATCCTCAATAATGATTTTACAGCCAATTCCTAACACTAATCATGCTAATACTGACGATTCCTAAAAGTATATTGGTGTGTATGATTTTATTTCGGGTGAGCTGCAGTACCTCTTCAGTTGGATTGTATTTTTTCGTTATCCTAAATTGAATTGTTTTACCCTACTAAAAACAATATACAGTGTCAAACTCATTTCAAGTTGTTCTGAGTTCGTGTAAGTCTCTGCATGCTGTGGGGGGACTTTTTCTAAAGTTGTTTACGTCAGTGTCCTGTAGAAGTAATGTATTGTGTCCGACTGGACACACCCATGTAATGCAGGACACATTCCGTCCAAACATTACACAATGCATTTCCTCGAATATCATTAAATTGAGAGTTTGGGTTGAATAAATTCCGATGTCAGTGACTTGGAGTTGGAGTGTTGACAAGGAAACAATAATTGTCTGTGTTTCCGACATTCCAACTGACCATTGTTTCACTTGCTATTTTGAAATGTTTATCACATCTATGAGCAGTTGTCATAAAAAAACAACAGAACTTTGTCATTCTTTACTTACCTACCTGACCTACTTATTGATCCCAAATATATGAATCCTCCCTTGTGCTGGCGATGCGCATTTTGTTTGTTTGTTTAATGCCACACTTAGCAATATGGCAGCAGTCCGTAAAAAAATTGAGTCTGGACCAGACAATCCAGTGATTGATATCATGAGTATCAATTCACACAATTGGGATACAATGACATACATCAACTATGCTTGTCGTAAGAGGCGACTAATTGGATCAGGTGGTCAGGCTCGCTGCCTTCGTTGATGCATGTCATCATATCCCAATTGCATGGATCGGTGCTCATGATGTCAATCACTGTATTGTCTGGTCCAGACTCAATTTTTTACAGACCACCGTCATATAGCTGGAATATTGCTTAGTGCAACGTTAAACAACAAACAAACAAACAAAAATCCATTGGAGTATGTATCATCCGACTCCAAATACCCCTTCGTTGTGTTCCAGGTCGGTTTGGCGTTGGTTGTCTGGTCAGGATGTGGGGTGCTGTCGCTGATTGGGGCAGTGTGTTACGCGGAGCTCGGAACAACTATTGCAAGGTCCGGAGGAGACTATGCCTACATCCTGGAGGCGTTCGGACCATTCTGTGCATTCCTTCAACTCTGGGTAAGATTTTACTTTGCTGTAATCAAGTTATGTTTTCATATTCATGATATTTGCATGCTTTTTGAATGAGTTTTTAGTCTCATCAGATGATCTTATGGCGTGGAGTGTGGTCTTCTCAGAAACCACGGAACCCAGGAAGCTGTGATTTCACATGCTTGTTCCCACCAATGATGACCAATATGTTCAAGAAGTTCAATTCCAATTTTCAATATGGCTGCCATGTCAGCCATATTGAAAAACCCATTTATGGACATTCATCTGTCATTTTTGTACAAATACAATAAAATATTGTATATGTAGTATCGAATCATACATAGAATACTTGCAACTAATTCTTTGTTGTTTAAAATGAATATTTCTGATACCACGCTTTGTTCTTTTTGCAAATGTTATGATGAAACTATTGTACACATTTTTTGGGAATGTGAACTTGTACAAGTATTTTGGAAAACCTTCTTAGATTGGATAAATAAATGTAGCCATATACATCATATGAAATTAAGTGCTGAACTTGATTTATTTGGTGTTAAAGAAAATATTGTTACTGACAAAGTTTTTGATTTTCTTATTTTAATAGCTAAATCTTTTATATATTTTTGCAGATTCAAAAAAACAAATCTTTGCTTCGCAATATTTCAAAAAGATGTTAGTCTGAGATACAAAATTGAGAAGAATATAGCCTTTACAAATGGTAATGTAGCTACATTTTATAAATCATGGATCTTTTATCACATATTGTTTGAAGAAGCAGAACAGCAATAACATATGTATCTCTTTCTCATATTTGTTTCTTGCCAGGATCAGTGTTTGAATAATATTTTGAATGCTTGACTGTGTGTATGTTTTGTTATATTTCTTAAAAATCACCTTGGCACCATTTCCAATACTTGTATTTAATTTTCCCCAAATGTATACATACATTGTCTTCAGAATGTGAGGGTGACCATTGCCCTGGATGGCCATCCTCCTCATGTAACAGGGAAAAGGTGAAATAAAATGTATAAAAAAAATTAAAAAATATTGTATATGTTGTTGGCAGTGTGGCTCCACATATCAAAAGGGAATTACCCCAACTCATTTGTTTTGGGTTAGTAAATGAATATCTGTTGAAATGAGTAGCGAAAATCTTTCTTAATAAACATCTTAGTTTGTCCTCAAGGTGACTTGGTTACGATTTGGTGCTTGCTACTTTAATTTTCTGTTTGAGATTTGAGGTTATCTGGGCCAAATCTGGGTTTCTGAACTTTCTCTGTTATCACAACTCAAGGCCACGAACCATGTCACAGAACTGTAGTGGACGTGATTAGATGCTACCATGTCCATGAATGCCAATTCTTCTGTGTATTAAGTGGCCATGTTGTGGACTGGGGGATTGACTAGAGATCAGATCTATTCTGTCAAAATACCAAGTTACCAATGTTTAGAATTTTTATTTTAGTTTTCGAGTTTACAAACAACTATAATCATGATAATTCAGTATTTGTGGAACATTTATTTTAAATCTAACATACCAAGTCTGGCATGGTATTTCTCTTCTACATTGTTATAAAGTATTTTGCAAAATAAATGCCAAAGCTAATTTGGTATTGTTTTTTATGTCAAGTAGGTAGAGAATTAAATAAATTACTACTTGACAGTCTTTGGCAGGTTAATTCAAAGTGGATGTATACTACTTAAAACAACTTAAGGACCACCCGATTGTTTCATATTGCTGTAATTAATCTGTCATGGCATGACAAATTGACTACAGCATGCACAGTAATATGAAAGAATGGGTGTTCTTTAACTTCTTTTGACTAGTATAGATTAATCACCCAGTGACTAATTACCCTAATTACAAAGGGTTGTCATCACTCGTGCCACTGACAAGAGAGTGTCTAGACACACACTGGGGATAGGCACAGAGTCAGGTCAGGTCACCTTGTTACAGAAGGCAGTTACCTCAGCATTCTGCTGAATAATCAATTTATATATATCATTATTTAATAATACTATTGATATATTTCTGTTCAAATGGTACTTCTTCAATCAATAACAAGGGTGTGCACTGTTATTGGTATATTGGTAAATTGAGGTTCATTTTTTCCACCATACGTATCACAATATCATTTTTTCATGCTCGATTTATCGGGTGATGTCAAATAACGAGTTTTTAATGTTATTTTCTTGCCAAATGCCTTTGCTGGCCTAGGGCATGCATCTTGGGCCCCAAGATTGCCGCGTATTTGTTGTGTTTATTATGTTATATAATATATATCGTGATGCATATCGCTAGACCTGTGAAGATCCGGGGTAGAATAGGTCTTCAGCAACCCATGCTTGTCCTAAAAGGAGACTATGCTTGTCTTAAGAAGCAACTAACAGGATTGGGTGATCAGGCTCGCTGACTTGGTTGATGCATGTCATCAATCCCACAAGCGTGGATTGATGCTCATGTTGTCAATCACTGGATTGTCTGGTCCAGACTCTATTATTAACAGACAGGCGACATATAGCTGGAATATTGCTGAGTGCGTTGTTAAACAACAAACAAAAACCAAAATCAACATGCTCGGTGAGCTTTGTTTGGTTCTCTATGGCATGTTGGTGAAGCGTTCTCTGACGTGACATGGTGTTCCGTCCTTCATGATATTCCCTTTCATGGCATTCATTACATGCTGTTTCTCCTGTTCCATGCCGTTGCATCTTCTATTGTCCTTAACATGCTGATTAAGGGAAACAAATTGTTTCCATCAAACATGACCTCATTGGTATTCCGGGTTGGAATAGGTTCTTTTTTTTTACTGGATGATTGATTTACTCTGTGAATGGATAATCAACATGTAGTAAATTTTAATAATTACCGTTTGATACGTGTTGGTAATTGACATGCGATATGTTTTGACAAAAAATAACAATGTTTCATTATTTTTGTTTCCAGGTAAATTTAATAATTATTCGACCTACAGCTCAAGCTATTGTGGCCTTGACCTTTGCAAATTATGCACTTCAACCCTTCTTCGTTGACTGTGTTGCGCCCGACACTGCAGTTCGTCTGTTGGCAGCATTGTGCATTAGTAAGTAGCCTGTGTTTTTTTGGTACTTTTTGAGATATATGTTACATTCTTTAAAACCCTGTGAAGATCCGGGATTGAATTTAGAATCTCAAGTAACCTATGCTTGTCGTAAGAGGCAACTAATAACAAGTGGTCAGGCAACTCATGGCTGGTCAGGCTTGCTGACTTGGCTGATGCACGTCATCGTATCCCAATTGCATAGATCGATGCTCATGATGTCAATCACTGGATTGTCAGGTCCAGATTCTATTATTTACAGACTCATTGAAAGTAGATCCGGCATAATGTTATTTTACTTTCAGATGTTTACAGTGGTGTATTATCACTTAATATATAATAAAGATTCTACATGTATTTTCCAACCCGTGAAGATCCGGATTAAAAGGTCTTCAGCAACCCATGCTTGCCGTACATCACCCTTGTCGTAAGGGGCGACTAACGGGATCGGGTGGTCAGGCCTGCTGACTTGGTTGATGCACGTCATCGTATCTGAGTTGCGTGGATCAATACTCATGATGTCAATCACTGGATTGTCTGGTCCAGACACGATTATTTACAGACTCAGGGATTATCCTGGCAATGTTTACCTATGAGAGAAAATCTCCACTGGACCAAAAGCAATGAGATTTTTTGGCATGTGATGAGATTTTGCTAATTTTCAGAGAAATTTCATCTTCACACAGTGGGGAAACTGTATTTGATTTTTGGTACTTGTGACTCAAGTAATGTTGCAAGTAATATTACTAGATTATATAGATATATCTTTGGATATCCTATTTTCAAACATTAATTATTCCACTGCGAGTACATGTATTAGCATTAGTATTAACCAAAAATTACAATTGACTTACATTTCTGTTCTACTTTAGGAGAAATTACACTAATATTTGTGTATTTCTGTTCATCATGCTCATTGTCGACTTGATCGGGAATTATTCGCGAGGACAATTATAGATTGTTTAGGAGGCATGTTTACCATCAGCTGTTCATTTCGTTGGCATGCAGGAGACAACAATCTGCAGTTATCAAATTTCGACAATGTGTGTTTAGATCGTAATTCAATATATTTAGAGTGATGACATGAAATTGCGACTGTTGTAAATGGTATTACAGTTTGTTGGCAAAAAATATATTATTTACATTCCAGTGCTTTCGTCAATTTCGCTATCTTATTTCCGTCTGAAGTGTGTACCATATCAGAGGCCAGGTCTCTGATCGTATCAAATGAAATCTTATCAATATGCACTTTTCATTGAATTTGAAGTGACAGTTCATTATACAATGACTATTGCTCCAGGTTCACCCTCTTGTTTAATTAGCCAGAGCCGCCTCCGTGGTCTTGTGGTAGAGCGTCCGCCCGGAGAGCCGAAGGTCCGGGGTTTGATCCCCGGACGCGTCATACCAAAAGACGTTAAAAGATGGTACTTGTTGTTACCCTGTCTGGTGCTCGGCATTAAGGGGCTAAAACAAGGACTGGTCGGCTCGGAGTCAGTATACTGTGTCTGAGTGGGGTATTCATGTTAAACTGCGGCATGGTATCTCAGTGAGCTAGCACTATAAATCGGCATCAGTCCGGACTAGTACAAGCAGCCACACACACACACACACACACACACACACACACACACACACACATGCACGTCGCTATATAAGTAAACCCAATTTCACCTCACCTAATTAGCCAGAATTAAGTCATTTATTTCACACATGTGCAGCAGGCAGAAATGTTTACAGGTAACCGGAAGTTGCAAAGACTTGACATTCATGATGTTTGCGTTACATTTGAATGATTAAGTAACAGTTTTCAATTTTTATGGACAAATTTGGAAGCAAACGTATCGAAGCATATTCTAAAAAATCTAAATTCAACCTGCTGTTGGGCCACTAGAAATAGTTCAAAATTTGTAATGACAGCACGGTGGCCATTCTTGCATGAGGGTACGTTCATGAAAACTCTTCCACCGGTGGCGAATCTCATCTAAATTGCAATCATTTCTGATCTGCAGTTCATAGATTATTATGGAGAGTTGTATGTATATTCATATAGTTTTTAGATTTGCTGTCATTCCAAAATCGAAATTTGCTCGTGTTTTGATTGATTTCTGCCTCTTGATTTCTGCATGGAGGCACATACATGAAGATCATCGTCTTTGATTTCTGCTAGGATTTTAGTCTTAAAAAAATATGTTTAATGACTTGGATTTGTAGATCACGGAGTAAGATTTTCGTGCCCTACCAAAGTGTCTAGTTTGTAAAAACAAACACTTGTTTGCCAATCGGGGATAAAAAAAATGTTGCACACTCCACCATTGTCAGCTGATACAAAGCTCCATGCAGTGATATAGGAATCAGTTATGCACAGTAAGAGATAGCATGCAATGTTGCAAGTATGCAAATCGCTGTTTCGATTGACAACATTTGACTATTGAATAAACTAGCGTGTAAGTTTTTTATTGACATTTTTAGGTACCGTAGATAAATTTATTCAAGCAATACAACATTTTTTATTTTTGAAGGTGAAAATGAGAGTGTTAATGCAGATAAAACTATTGAAAGATCTACGCGATTTTCAATCGCGCTGATTGAATGTTGATGCGATATCTACGACAACTATGCGAGAATATCACGGAATCGCGGCCTAAGTCAATCCCTGCAGACTGCTGTCATATAGCTGGAATATTGCTGAGTGCGGCACCAAACAACAAACACAACAATGGTTGACGTAATATGGCAGTGTTGATGTAGCGTTCAGTGACACAGTCAGATTCATGACACGGTTTCACCACACAAATGAACATGTATTTTCTTGTTTGTTTGGAGCACACAAGATGTTTTTTAAATGACACAACACTTGGCACATGCTTTTGGCTTTCAGCCCATATCGAGCTGACATGCTGTGACATAGAATCTTTTCTTACGTATAGTGCGCACTTGGTTTTGAAGAATATTGTACTGAATATATGAACTGGGATGCTGACATAATGTTCAAAAGGGCTTTAAACTGGCCAAACTGTCTCACTATAGTGAGTGAGTATGGTTTTACAGCTTTTAGCAATATTCCAGCAATATCACATCAAGCTGACACGTCATGATATAACTGGAATACTGTTAAAATCCTGAACATGTCCAGCAATATGAGGCCGTGCGTTGTCATGTTGAAAGGTGATGCCTGGGTCATGACGACGCAATGATCTCATCACGGTAGCGCTGTCCATTGAGATTTCCTTCTACCACTATCAAACGGGTCTTCTGTCTTGCTGTAATCCCAACCCATACCATAACGCTGCTGTCCCCCAACCGATCTTCTTCCATGACACAATGATTGACGTAACGTTCACCTCGACGTCGGTACACTCGAATCCGTCCATCGCTGTGGCTGAGGTGAAAAAGAGACTCGTCAGTGATTAGAATTTGTCTCCACTGCATGGCTGTCCAGCGTAGACGCTGTCTGTTCCACTGTAGACGTGCTTGACAGTGGTTTCCTGTCAAAATGGGACGTCTGGAGGGTCTTCTGGCGACAATCCCTGCACATCTGAGGCGACGACATACAGATTTGTGAAGATATTCGTCGAAGGCCTAGTACAAGCAGGCACGAACACACACATATGCATTCACGTCGCTATATAAGTGCAATAATCTTGGACGCCACGTTAAACCCTATCTCACCTCACCTCACCTCACCTCACTTCACCTCACCTCACCTCACCTCACCTCAACAACAAATTTGCATGTAACCAGCAGGGCTTGCCTCGTTTGAAAGTTACTGGCCATTCTCCAAACTAGCTGGCCTACAACTAAACGGCTCTGAAAACTCCTGACCACTAAAACATTTAATTGTTATGAAATTTCTACCTCTATTACATATCTGCCATAAATCCTGTATTTTGGCTTCAACATGTTCAATCACACTAACTAAAATTTTCAGATTTTCAACAGACGTCCTCTCCACTGTCAGTTACACACAGTTGTTGCAGCCAAGTAGTCTCGTAACTACCCATGCTCTGAAAACTACTGACCACTAAAACATTTATTCCTGCTCTGAGATTAGATCTTGGCTTCCATTTGCCGCATTTCAAGGCGATATATGAGCAAATAAGGAAGTTGTTGCACACAACATTACAAAATGGTGGCTGGTTGTCATTCTACCAAGATGATGCAATTTAAAAAAATTAAATATACACAGAGAAGGGTTGAAATTTTGACTAGCCATTTTACTTTACGATTCAGCAAGCCCTTTGTAATTTGAACTGGCCACGGGCCAACAGCTAGGCCTGCTAGAGGAACTCTGTGAACTCTTAAGTGTATTTCCATGTGTCTTAGTGCAGAAGCATCACATCTATGTGCACAAGTGTCATGGACTGAGTGACTGGTTCTTCATTTAAGTGCTTTACAGATCAGATCCTCTGATAGGAAAGGGAAGCCTCACAATCACAAAGGAATGTAAATTCTCTGGCTTCAGTCATGTGTTCTGGAATGCAAAAAATGTCCTGCTTGGATGAAGACATGTAAAGGACCTAATCATTGTGCCAAGATGTTTCGACATTCTAGTAACCATGGTAACAAACACGAGAGTAGTCTGTGACTTAGCCACTAGTCCAAAGCCCGAGTCTAGAAAATATTTTTAGATCTAGTAATAATATATCTGCTAATAAAAGTCTGTACATTGACACTGAGATGTACTGACAATGATGTCAAGTGATGGGTTCGGCCAGTAGACGCCAAAGTTTTGGTACAGACTGCAAGCATGTTGGTGTTGCAGGGATAATTCTAGGGTGGGGCCTTGTGCTTTAAGCCCTTAAATTTGAGAAAAGGACGACATTTACAAATACAATGGGTCATTTTAACATTTAGCTGTATGGGCGTACCTCTGGAATATTTGAAATTTTCACATAAAGGGCCCATGTCAGAAAATTCCTAGAGTGAATCCTGATGTTGTCTACGAGACTGATGATGATGATGATGATGATTGTTATAATTGATCAGTAGTGTTGTCTGTATTGTACAAAATGTACAATGGACTATGATTTTGGCAGAGATTATAGAAAGGGTTTTGTCACTTAAGTTTACTCTGAAATACAACACGATAGGTACCACGGCAGACTCCGAGACTTTGCACAGTTGTTGATGACAGTTAGTTTGGCAACTGTCCAGGAAATACTTACCAGATGGTAGCAAGGTTAACCATTAAGTTAAGTCAGGAATATCTGGTTGAGAATGTGGAATGGGACAGAGGTATGACCTGATTAGAGCTCACATTGCTGGTTGTCAAGAATCCTTGGAACAGGAAAAACTACAGTGATGAGGTTGTTGTTGTTATTGCCGACACAAGTGGCTGCTATGTACCATTGCTGGGATCCAGGGATTCTCAGTAGATGGGTTTTGTCACCGGGAATGTTGATAACCATGATAACATTGTACACAGGAACCCTGCGGGGATGTCGAGATAGACATGTTCCCCAGCAGCATTGCTGGTTGCTAGATACTTTGTAACACAGTGGCTTTTGCTTGGTAATATTATCTCCATTAAATGTCTTCAAGATAAGTCATCCCCAGCCCTCTCTGCATAAGGACCAGCACTGAGTCTGTTAATGGAATGTCATTTTGTAACTTGAAACTCCACAATCTCTGCTCAGATCCAGGGGCGGTCGGGTAGCCTAGTGGTTTAAGCGTTCGCTCGTCACGCCGAAGACCCGGGTTCGATTCCCGACATGGGTACAATGTGTGAAGCCCATTTCTGGTGTCCCCCGCCGTGATATTGCTGGAATATTGCTAAAAACGGCGTAAAACCATACTCACTGGTTGGTTTGTTGTTTAACGCCGCACTCAGCAACATTCCAGCTATATGACGGCGGTCTGTAAATAATCGAGTCTGGACCAGACAATCCAGTGATTAATATCATGAGCATCGATCCACGCAATTGAGATCGATGACATGCATCAACCAAGTCAGCGAGCCTGACCACCCGATCCCGTTAGTCGCCTTTTACGACAAGCATAGTCACTTTTTACGGCAAGCATGGGTTGCTGAAGACCTATTCTACCCCAGAATCTTCACGGGTCCATACTCACTGACACACTGCTCAGATCCGAGCACATTCTGCCCACTGGAGGACAGATATAGAGGCGTCTTACTGAATTGAGTTTTCAGTGACTTGCTTGAACTACAATAGTGTGGACCGTTGCTCACAATATCAGTCACTTCATTTTCTGGTTAAGACTTGAATGTTGACGTGCAGCCGTCATATTGCTGGAATATTAGTTATGAGTTTTGAGTATGAGTTATGACTACATGAGTTATGAGTACATCATTAAGCAACAAAGTGTTTAAATATAAAGCTCCTTTGAGACCGTAGTTGGTAGCGTTGATCATGTTGATGATGCTAGTTGTGTTAGTTCTGACATTGGACGTGACGTTTTTCATGAAGAATTCGGAAAATTACCTTGCAAAGTACACTTACAAGTTGATCCAACGGTACTGTCAGTTATCAGAATTGAGTGCCAAATTCGCATCGTGATCAGTTGAAAGTTGAGTAGAGAGTGTTGATAGCTGAGAACAATATCTTTTATCATGGATATTTTGTTTGGTCAGAGCAATCGAAGCAATATGTTTTCAGGAAACTGTCCTGTGTCATTGTAGTACTTAATTTGTCGATTTACGCTGTTATGTGACTTGACAATCTGTAACTTTATATTGATGCTGATATTTAACCGAACATGTCCATTGACTTGGTGCGAGTATTTCCTGCATAATTATTATTTTACACAATATTTTAGCTTCCCGGTTTGTTTGTTTGTTTGTTTGTTTTCTTCACAAGATGCATGTTCAGCAATGTCTCAGGACCAGCTCAGGGGCAGACATTCTGTCCCAAGTCTGCAGTATGCTCTCTTTGAAATTACAACTATGGCGCAGAGCACACAATTTGAATAGCCTGTTTCTGGTTTCCCCTGCTGTGGTATTGCGGGAATGTTGCTTAAAGTAGCATAAAATCAAACTCACTCACTTTCTCACTGGTGCACGGCTACAGGGCCAATAAAGATACAGAGGCTTTGATGCTTACTTTACAATGTTACATTTTATCATCCATTTATTTATTCCGGATATCTATGGAAGCCTTTTAGGGCCTTTTGTTTTTTGGGGGGTTCTTGAAAATTCAAGATATTGACTTGAAATCTCAAGATGCTATTGAAATTTCAAGTTTCTAAGTTTGTTTGACGCCACACTCTGCACTATTCCAGCTATATGATGGCAGCCTGTAAATATTCGAGTCTGGACCAGACAATCCAGTGAGCGATGTTGTGAGTGATATTATACCAGGCTATCGGGTACGATGACACGCAATCCACCAACTCAATCAACCTAGCCTGACCACCCAATCCATTTGGTCACCTGACAACCAGCATATGTTGTTGGGGAACTAGCATCCCCACAGTGTGGGTTCAGAATTGAAATTAGTTGATTTATTCAAAGAATGCCAAACGTAAAGTGACACCTAAGAACATTCTAATAGAACAGAAGTGTAATGACAGATGAAGTGCCAGTCAGAGGGGGTGGTCGGGTAGTCTAGTGGTTAAAGTGTTCGCTCATCATGCCGAAGGCCCGGGTTCGATTCCCCAGTTGGGTACAACATGTGAAGCCCATTTCTGGTGTCCCCTGCCTTGATATTACTGGAATAGTTCTAAAAGCGGCGTAAAACCATACTCACTCCAGTCAGAGATCTAACATTTCACATGGCATTACATCGGAAGTATATATCTAAGCTATTCATGCAGTAGCCATAGAAACCGATATTGTTAGATCCCAATCAATTTAAACATAGAAAATAACATGAACTGATACGTCAGACACAAATATTAGTTCTATCAGATTCATGTATCTTGTTACGTTTCATGTAAAAATGACTTTTTTTTAGGATTACTTAGTCATCAATTACTCAGAGGAACGGTCGTCAAGATGTTTGCCTCCTTGCCACAAGGTTTCCATCAAACATGTCAAACAGACATGTCAAATATTGCATTGTCTCGGCTTGTAATGATGTGGAAGTTCCTGGATAACGGTAGAGCCTGGCTGTGATTGCTGCTGCTATCTATAACACAGGCATTGATTTTCTTAATACTATTCATTGAAAAGGATCACAAATTCTGGAGGAATGTGCGTTCTTGGGTCGTCTCATTTGAAAGTCAACTAGTTCTCTGTGACAAAGTTTCAGGCAGTGGCACCAACATGCGGGGGCGTGTTCGATTCGGTGTATTTATCCAGAGGGTGGGTGGAATCTTGTCGTCATTCAGTGTAACAGATAGATAATTGACTTCTCAATGTAAAGATCTCAAAGCTTCAATTCGGTGTATCTTTTTCCTGTGTTCAGGGAAATGGATTGTACTAACAGAAGTTGTCTTGTCTGTTTGATCACAAATGTTTATAAGTGTTTTTTATTCGTCGTATCCCTCATTAATATTCTGGTATTCCCTCGCTTGCACACTCGCTTGCACACTCACTCACTCACTCACTCACTCACTCACTCACTCACTCACTCACTCACTCACTCACTCACTCACTCACATTGAAATGTTTAATGGTGTGATCCCATTGAAAATAATGCAGAGCTCGAGATAAGCTGCGTATTTGCGTAAAATACACATTTATTAAACTGAAATACGCAAACAAATCAAATCCTAGCGTATCAAATACGCAAGAAAAACTATAAACACGCTATTGAAATAAATTCAATGCATATGTTACAACTGTTAGATAATACAACTGTTAGATAAAATGATTGTGTATCAGCTGATTGCCAAGTTGACTTACCCAACAGTTTCAACAGTATGCAACAAACATACTGGTAGATGCCAATTAAAAAGCACATCCTGCCTTGTCAATGTACATGTTGTTTCTTAAACAGTCACTGATTGGTGATTAAAGAAATAGCAACTTTCTCGAAATGCTAGGTTTTGCCAACAAAAATGACTTCCCTGAGAGGGAGCCATGAGCAGACGCAGACAGGTATACTACTATTTCATAGTTTTAAATGATTTTCAGGGCTTATTACGAAACAGTTTTTTCTAGTAAAAATACCCAAATGTCAGGAAATAGGGGGAAAGTGTCAGCTTAGTGTGGGAGGAAAGCTCAAAGTGATGCAGGTCTCCAACATTTACCACTTAGATGAAACCCACAAGCACGGGTATGGTGCTGACAAACCTAGAAACCAGGATTCGAACCCACAATCGTAGGTTTCTGGCATGCCGAAAGGGTGCAACTCTGTACAGCAAACCGCGGTGCCTTAGAGGACTGGGCCACCCAGGCCCCTTCTGATGTGGGAAGATCTGAGGACACAAAACAGCAATCTCATTGAAGTCAGATCTTCTACTCCATGTGCTCCAATACCATACCTCTCTGCATGAAGATCTGACAACACCTCCAACAAAGCTCCAGTCAGTCAATCAAGAGTTGAGGCTTCTAAATTCTCGGCATTAATGGGCGATGTATTTTGTCCGGCATGTTGGATTTCTATATCACAAGATACATAATATTTGTGTACACAAGATTTTCACAAATGTCTTATCCAATCTTTCCTTGTGAATTGTTATCAGTATGGTATGTTTGCAGGTATTCTGACGTTTGTGAACATGGCCAGTGTGAAGGCTGCCACTCGGATCCAGGACTTGTTCACAATAGCCAAGCTTCTCGCCCTAGTCATCATCACCATCGCTGGCATCGTCATGATGAGCCTAGGTGGGTATACGATGCAATAATATCCTGACATTATCATGATGGGCCTGGGTGGGTATACGATGCAATAATATCCTGACATTATCATGATAGGCCTGGGTGGGTGTACGATGCAATAATATCCTGACATTATCATGATGGGCCTAGGTGGGTATACGATGCAATAATATCCTGACATTATCATGATAGGCCTGGGTGGGTATACGATGCAATAATATGCTGACATTATCATGATGGGCCTAGGTGGGTACACGATGCAATAATATCCTGGCATTATCATGATGGGCCTGGGTGGGTATACGATGCAATAATATCCTGACATTATCATGATGGGCCTAGGTGGGTAAGCATATTTTATTTCTTTCACAATACTTGAAAGTGCAGTGTTTGCTGTTTCCAGATGAACATGATGAAGAGACGTTACTATAAAATCATCAACCAATCCCCAGGTTAGACTTGACCGCCTCCGTGGTCTTATGGTAGAGCGGAAGGTCCAGCGTTCGATCCAAAAGACGTTAAAAGATGGTACTTGTTGTTACCCTGTCTGGCGCTCGGCATTAAGGGGCTAAAACAAGGACTGGTCGGCTCGGAGTCAGTATACTGTGTCTGAGTGGGGTATTCATGTTAAACTGCGGCATGGTATCTCAGTGAGCTAGCACTATAAATCGGTATCAGTCCGGACTAGTACAAGCAGCCACACACACACACACATGCACGTCGCTATATAAGTGCAATAATCTTGGACACTACGTTAAACCCCATTTCACCTCACCAGGTTAGATTTGGTCTTCAACAACCCATGCTTGTTGTAAAAGGCAATTAATGGGATCAGGTTATCTGGCTAGATGACTTGATTGATGCATGTCGTGGTATCTCAGCTGTGTTGAGCGATACTCATGATGTCAATCACTGGAGTCTGGTCTATACTTGAATATTTACAGACCGCTGTCATATAGCTGGAATATTGCTGAGTGCGGCGTTAAACAAACAAATAAAGCATCAACCAAAATATAGAAAACATGAACTGTTTCATTGCAGGTGAAACTGAGCACCTAGCCACAGGCCTTGAAGGGTCGTCTGACAGTGTCGGGGATATATCGTTAGCTTTCTACTCCGGTCTCTTTGCTTATGCTGGATGGTGAGTTTGTTTCATTCATTATGATAGAGTCCCGCCGTGATATTGCTGGAATATTGCTAAAAGCAGTGTAAAACCATACTCACTCATTACTCATTAAGAGAGAGGAGTTTGGGTTTAAGTCTGCCACTTTAATAGCTTTTGAACAGTGTTTCAGTTACATCAGCATTAAAACACAATTCCCCGGTTTTGGTTGAAAATGTAAAACATTGAGCTCGAAGTTTTGCATAATCGAACAAACCCAATGAGTGACTTAACTAACTTATGAACTGTCAAAAATCCAAGAAATAACAGAACAGATAAGAAAATATGGGGTTTCGAATATTTACTCTAGAATGGATGATAGCTCTCGGCGAATCCATGGACGACGCCATGTTAGGTCATGTGACTTCTCTAGCTCCTTACACATAATACCAACTCCATGCATTGCATGCAACTTACCACGTATAAAAAAAAATATAGGCAAAAGTGGCAGTAGATTATAAGAAGAGTTATCATATTACTGAATGCTTTGTTTGTCTCCACAGGAATTTCCTCAACTTTGTTACAGAGGAAATGATAGATCCTTTTAAGTGAGTGTGAAATGTTTGTTGTTGTGTAGTAATATGCTAGAGCTCACAATATGTACTACAAGTCATGGGATATACTACTCAATGTTTGATACTGGGAAACCTCTATAGTCTGGACCCCATTAGTCAGGAAACCTCGCTTTACAGACCAGCTTGTATGGACCATCTATATATGTCACAGCAACTTCACTCCACACACAGTTTGCTAACCCAGACATTTGTTAATCTGGACTATTTTACTAGGTATTGTCTGGGTGAACAATATTCTACAGTATTCTATGTAGTCATACTGATTTCATGCATGCGTGTTGGATTACTTGTATTTCCCAAGCGAGTCTGCAATTGCAAGTTATGTTATTATTACAAGTAGTAGAGGTAGTGTAGTAGTAGTGGTGGTGGTAGTAATAGTAGTAGTGGTGGTAGTAGTAGTAGTAGTGGTGGTGGTGGTGAGGGTAGTAGCAGTAGTAGTACATGGTAGTAGTGGTGGTGGTAGTAGTAGTGGTGGTGGTGGTAGCGGTGGTGGTAGTAGTGGTGGTGGTAGTGGTGGTGGTAGTAGTGGTAGTAGTAGTAGTGGTGGTGGTGGTGAGGGTAGTAGTAGTAGTAGTAGTAGTAGTAGTAGTACCTGATGACGGAGTGAACATATACTCCGAAACATTATGTTCCTCATAATAAAGAAGTTGACATCCATAAATTCTCTTACTTGCGTGTATCACTTCTAAATGCCTTTCAAAGACTTGTTATTTACTTGACCAGAAACAATGCAAACTAACACACCGGTTTGCTTCAGACACATAGTATATGTTCATGCTAACCCAACACTGTTTGCAGGTGACGTAAATGAACCAATCAGAGCCTTTTCTTTGTAGGTTAAAAGATACAGGTTATACATTAATCATAAATAATGTTATTTAAACTAATGTTTTTTATTTGACTGGTTTAAAATGTTGAGCAAGTACCCTTGTGAGCGGTTTGTTTGTGTGTACTTGCAGTCTGTACCTGGTTATATTTCAGAAACCTTCCCCGAGCCATCTACATATCCATCCCTATAGTAACGGTTGTCTACGTGATGGCCAACGTGGCATACTTCGCAGTCATTTCACCAGCAGATATCTTATTATCAAATGCCGTAGCTGTGGTGAGTGGAATATACAAAAATCAATTGGTTTTTTTCTAAGTCTACTTCTTTTCTGAGTACTTTGTATTGCTTGTTGTTTACCACCAAACTTATCCATGTTAAGGCTATATAAATACCGTATTCGACGTAATAAGCGCCCAGGGTGCTCTCAAAATTAGAAATAGGGGGCTCTTATTAGAATATTATTTTGGGGGAAAAAAAACAGAGTTGCAAGATCGTAAATTTCGTGGTTTATGCTGACAGCCTGAAATGTTTATATACGACAGATATATTTTTCCAGGATTTAATTGCCCATAATTAAGGGTGCATGTAACACAGGAGTGCGTATTATACACGAAAAAATAAGTCTTGTGTAAATTGATAAATCGGAAGGGGTGCTAATTGAGATTGTTCACTAGCCAATATATTAGCAAATATCGTCGTTGGTGCTTATTAGAGCGGGGCGCTTATTACGTTGAATACGGTAGTTCAGTCTAGACCTGACAGTCCAGTGATTGATATTGTGAGCAACGGACCATGATGTATGGGTATGATGACATGCGATCAGCATCTTCCCGAGGCAAGAGAGTTAACTGACCATAAAGGTCTAGTTTCCACCCTTCCCGATCTAGGCTAGAATACCAATATCTTTTTTAGTATGATGACACACAAACATGTCATAGAGCTTTATGTTTGAGTGAGTCATAGATTATTATGAGTGGGTGAGTTTGGTTTAACATCACTTTGATCAGTATTGTAGTCATATCAGCAGACCTCAAAGTTGCGACTAAAACCGATGCCATTGGAACCTAAATTTCAGTTTGTCTACTGTTCAAAGTTCAGAGGTAGCCAAATGACTACCTTGAAAAATATCTTGTGGTGACTAAATTCAATTGCTACACATCTGTAGACACAAAATTAAATAACAGCTGGTCTGGGAAAACACATCTGCTAATAAATGTACTCACAAATAATTCCTCCAAGAGTCGACAATTATCCGAAATACATAAATATTAATGTAATTAGTATTGTATTTCAGTTGACAATGCTCATTGGATAAGCAAGGACATACCTACATAATCCTGTAACATAAATTGCATCATTGTTTAAGTCACAAGTAACAAAAGTCAAGTACAGTTTCCACTAATATACAATTCCAAGACTAGTGCTATAACTTGTACATATAATAATAGTTATTTGATAAAAGATCATTTCAAATGCTTTTGGCTACCTACAATATTGGCTTGACTTCTTGATTTTACCACTGGCTACCTGGAAAAAAATACTGGTAGCCATATGGCTACATGGTGAAAATTTAAACTTTGAGGCCTGATCAGGGTGTTAAACTGCGGCATGGTATCTCAATGGCTAGTACTATTAATCAGCATATCACACACACACACACACACACACACACTACACACTACACACTACACACTACACACTACACACACCGAAGTGGTAAACGCCTGAGACCTGCATCACTTCGGGCTTTCCTCCCACATCAAGCTGACACGCCGTGATATAACTTGAATACTGTTAAAAGCGGTGTTAAACCCAACTCACTCACTCACACATATTTGTGAAGTCAAAAAGTCTAAATACCTAGGATCTGGTGTTTAGTGAATTTACAAAGTCACTGTCTCATAGTCATGATAGTTAGATTTAGCGTGTGACTGCACCATATGATGCACCAGACAGTGAACATCTGCTCTTGTACACAGCTGGTGTTAATCGCATAACTAACGCACCAGGTATTGTATATCTGCCTGAGGGAAAGAATTGATTCTGACTTATTCATGAGTTATGAACAGATTATTTTGATTCTGTTTGCAGTTGTTGGGACTGGTCATCACCCAAAAACATGACAGTCTCTAGGAGAGGGTCATAAAAATTAATATACCTGTTCGATAAGGGTCATGAAATTATGGCCATTTTGCCTTTTCAGGGAGGGTCATGAAAAATATGTACAAGGACATGGGGAGAGTCATCCGAAATTTGACAAGCATTAGTGGAGGGTCATTATTTCCTGTAAACTAGTGCATCAAAAGTGCCTGACCACCCACCCCTGTATTAAATAACTGGTCCCTTTGTGCAGAAACAACAAAACATGATGTAGGTAAAAATATGTTTATTTACAACATCTTAGGAGAATTGAGGGGGCTACTTCAGTTGCCGGAGGGTCGCCAACCCTGGGTATGTTAGATATGAAGGATAACCTGTAGGTGGTGGACCCGCGGTTAGAAGGCAAGGGAAGTAACCTGTAGGTCGTGGACCCGTGGTTAGAAGGCAAGGGAAGTAACCTGTAGGTCGTGGACCTGTGGTTAGAAGGCAAGGGAAGTAACCTGTAGGTCGTGGACCCGCGGTTAGAAGGCAAGGGGAGTAACCTGTAGGTTGTGGACCCGTGGTTAGAAGGCAAGGGAAGTAACCTGTAGGTCGTGGACCCGCGGTTAGAAGGCAAGGGAAGTAACCTGTAGGTCGTGGACTCGTGGTTAGGAAGGCGAGGACCTAATGGTAGGATTAGTTGCCCTGGGGTCGTGGACCTGGACATCCCCATGAACGGTTCCTGGTGTAAGATCGGTAAGCCCATGTAGATAGTGTCCTGCCGCCGTATGAATTGGGGGCTAGTCAGCTCATTTTGTGCTTCCGTACTGGTGATTAAAAGCACTGAATGAACTGAAAACCCAAAGGAGGTTGGCAGCCGAGAGCCCCCAATGAATAGTAGGGATATATATGTAAGATGTAAGGTGAAAAACGTAAAAATGAAAGTTACCAACATTTAGTGGCAGTGATGCATGTTACACCTAAGTATGCTTGAACTAAACGCCGTTGGCTACTAAAGGACAATGGTATGGCATCCTTGACCTAAATAAGGCAGTACATGTGAACCAGGACAGGAGTCCTCACACTGAGTACATTGTAACCACAGTCACTGGCTCCATGCGAGGTTCCATGATAACATCGAATCACAGTTAAAACCAAGTGTCAAAGTCAGAATGCACATAACAGAAAAGCATGGCTAATGATGTGACATGAAAATAAAATATAAGAAGTGACGGTAGGTAAATGTAAGACATAAGCATGTACTTGCTAGTGAAGAGTGTAATTATGGTGAGAAAATAACAGGGTATAATAATGGTTGTTGTGGGTGTTCTATTGCAGAATAGGTCCTCAAAACACCATGATTGTTGTGGGTGTTCTATTGCAGAATAGGTCCTCAGTACCCCATGGTTGTTGTGGTAGGTGTTCTATTGCAGAATAGGTCCTCAAAACCTCATGGTTGTTGTGGGTGTTCTATTGCAGAATAGGTCCTCAAAACACCATGGTTGTTGTGGGTGTTCTATTGCAGAATAGGTCCTCAAAACACCATGATTGTTGTGGGTGTTCGATTGCAGAATAGGTCCTCAGAACCCCTTGGTTGTTGTGGGTGTTCTATTGCAGAATAGGTCCTCAGAACCCCTTGGTTGTTGTGGGTGTTCGATTGCAGAATAGGTCCTCAGGACCCCATGGTTGTTGTGGGTGCTCTTATTGCAGAATAGGTCCACAAAACACCATGGTTGTTGTGGGTGTTCTTATTGCAGAATAGGTCCTCAAAACACCATGGTTGTTGTGGGTGTTCTATTGCAGAATAGGTCCTCAAAACACCATGGTTGTTGTGGGTGTTCTATTGCAGAATAGGTCCTCAAAACACCATGATTGTTGTGGGTGTTCGATTGCAGAATAGGTCCTCAGGACCCCATGGTTGTTGTGGGTGTTCTATTGCAGAATAGATCCTCAGGACCCCATGGTTGTTGTGGGTGTTCTATTGCAGAAAAGGTCCTCAAAACCTCATGGTTGTTGTGGGTGCTCTTATTGCAGAATAGGTCCACAAAACACCATGGTTGTTGTGGGTGTTCTTATTGCAGAATAGGTCCTCAAAACACCATGGTTGTTGTGGGTGTTCTATTGCAGAATAGGTCCTCAAAACACCATGGTTGTTGTGGGTGTTCGATTGCAGAATAGGTCCTCAGAACACCTTGGTTGTTGTGGGTGTTCTATTGCAGAATAGGTCCTCAGAACACCATGGTTGTTGTGGGTGTTCTGTTGCAGAATAGGTCCTCAGAACCCCTTGGTTGTTGTGGGTGTTCTATTGCAGAATAGGTCCTCAGGACCCACTGGTTGTTGGTGGTGTTCTATTGCAGAATAGGTCCTCAGTACCCCATGGTTGTTGTGGTAGGTGTTCTATTGCAGAATAGGTCCTCAAAACACCATGGTTGTTGTGGGTGTTCTTATTGCAGAATAGGTCCTCAAAACACCATGGTTGTTGTGGGTGTTCTATTGCAGAATAGGTCCTCAGAACCCCTTGGTTGTTGTGGGTGTTCTATTGCAGAATAGGTCCTCAGGACCCACTGGTTGTTGTGGGTGTTCTATTGCAGAATAGGTCCTCAGTACCCCATGGTTGTTGTGGTAGGTGTTTTATTGCAGAATAGGTCCTCAGGACCCCATGGTTGTTGTGGGTGTTCTATTGCAGAATAGGTCCTCAGGACCCCATGGTTGTTGTGGGTGTTTATTGCAGAATAGGTCCTCAAAACACCATGGTTGTTGTGGGTGTTCTATTGCAGAAAAGGTCCTCAAAACCTCATGGTTGTTGTGGGTGTTCTATTGCAGAATAGGTCCTCAGAACCCCATGGTTGTTGGTGGTGTTCTATTGCAGAATAGGTCCTCAGGACCCCATGGTTGTTGTGGGTGTTCTATTGCAGAATAGGTCCACAAAACACCATGGTTGTTGTGGGTGTTCTATTGCAGAATAGGTCCTCAGGACCCCATGGTTGTTGTGGGTGTTCTATTGCAGCATAGGTCCTCAGGACCCCATGGTTGTTGGTGGTGTTCTATCGCAGAATAGGTCCTCAGGACCCCATGGTTGTTGTGGGTGTTCTATTGCAGCATAGGTCCTCAGGACCCCATGGTTGTTGGTGGTGTTCTAGTGCAGAATAGGTCCTCAAAACCCCATGGTTGTTGGTGGTGTTCTATTGCAGAATAGGTCCTAAGGACCCCATGGTTGTTGGTGGTGTTCTCTTGCAGAATAGGTCCTCAGGACCCCATGGTTGTGGGTGTTCTATTGCAGAATAGGTCCTCAAAACCCCGTGGTTGTTGTGGGTGTATTCATGTTGAACTGCGGCATGGTATCTCAGTGGGCTAGCACTACAAAACCGGCATTAGTTCGGACTAGTACAAGCAGCCACACACACACACACACACATGCATGCACATCGCTGTATGAGTGCACTAATCTTGAATGCATGTCTCACCTCACCTCACCTCACCTCACCTTAGCATGTTAAATGCAGTGTTTTGTTTCTTGCAGACATTCGGAGATCGCCTGTTTGGTGTTATGGCCTGGATCATGCCTGTGTTTGTGGCACTCTCCACATTTGGAGGTGTGAATGGACTACTCTTCACTTCAGGAAGGTAGGAAAGCTTGAATTGACCTTTGAACCGTAGTGAGTGAGTTTAGATTTTGTCATGTTTATGTCGCTTGATTGTTTTGTTTGTTTGTTTGTTGTTTATCACTGCACTCAGCAATATTCAAGCTATATGACAGCGGTCTGTAAATAATCGAGTCTTGACCAGACAATCCAGTGATTGACATCACGAGCATCGATCCACACAATTGGGATACGATGACATGCATCAACGAAGGCAGCGAGCCTGACCATCTGATCCCGTTAGTCGCCTCTCACGACAAGCCTAGTCGCCCTTGTAGCTTGATTGATAGGTGGACAACAGAAAACCCAAAAGTACTAGAATTATTTCTTTGCGAAGAAAGTATAGTCCCAAATATAACATTTGTTACATTTGACCACTTTCTAAAAGGCATTATGAATTTATAACCCTGAACCACATCAGGAGGCTGGGGGTACCTGTGGTTACCATGGTAAATGTTAAACAAACTTTTTAAAAATTGGAGGCAAATTTTGGAACAGTAGACTTTCTCAGTGCACCAGAAGAATCCGTTGGACTGGAGACAGTGGTAGAGTGTGACGCAGTGCACGTGAATTTCCTACTCTGCCTGAGCTGCTTGACACATGCACTGTGTAGCCTACAAACCTTCCTTCCACTCATGAATTATTCCATGTGCAGATCTGGTGGATGTCAGATCGTGATTTTTCTGAACTTATGAACTTAGCAGTAGACCATGGTTCTGTTCCCCCATATGGGTTAATGTTGTGAATCCTGTTCCTGGTAGTAATGTTGCTGGAATATTGCTGGAGGATAGTTAAAACCATGGCCACCTTGCGATGTTGCTGGAATATTGCTGGAGGATAGTTAAAACCATGGCCACCTTGCGATGTTGCTGGAATATTGCTGGAGGATAGTTTAAACCATGGCCACCTTGAGATGTTGCTGGAATATTGCTGGAGGATAGTTAAAACCATGGCCACCTTGCAATGTTGCTGGAATATTGCTGGAGAATAGTTTAAACCATGGCCACCTTGCGATGTTGCTGGAATATTGCTGGAGAATAGTTTAAACCATGGCCACCTTGAAATGTTGCTGGAATATTGCTGGAGGATAGTTAAAACCATGGCCACCTTGCGATGTTGCTGGAATATTGCTGGAGGATAGTTAAAGCCATGGCCACCTTGTGATGTTGCTGGAATATTGCTGGAGGATAGTTTAAACCATGGCCACCTTGAGATGTTGCTGGAATATTGCTGGAGGATGGTTAAAACCATGGCCACCTTGCAATGTTGCTGGAATATTGCTGGAGAATAGTTTAAACCATGGCCTCCTTGCTATGTTGCTGGAATATTGCTGGAGAATAGTTTAAACCATGGCCACCTTGTGATGTTGCTGGAATATTGCTGGAGAATAGTTTAAACCATGCCCACCTTGCAATGTTGCTTGAATATTTCTAAAGGATACTTAAAATCACTCACATACTACTATCATGGGATAACATTTATACTAAGTTATCTTATAATAATTAGATCTACATCAAGTGCTTTTATGAGTTATCATGATGTAATATTTATACATCATTTCATATAATTGTAGTTTTAGCAAGTAATAATTATCATTAGGTAAAATGCATATATAAAATATCAGTAGTTTCAGTTAAAGCTTTTTAGATGGTTGCTAGCCTAAGGTAATGGGAGCGCGTCTTCTAGACATACTATTCAATAAGACAAGAGTTACGTCTACATAGTTTAATTGATTTAAAGCTTTTAGATAAATGCTAGCCTAAGGTATCAAGATCCCATCTCCCAGACAAAGGATATTTATTTAAGTATATCTGTCATCACCCACCGGGGTATATTAGAATAACATTATTTCAATTAAGACTCATTAAGGATTAGCCCCCATACAAGCTCGTCTATAGTGCATTAAGGATTAGCCCCCATACAAGCTCGTCTATAGGGCATTAAGGATTAGCCCCCACACAAGCTCATCTATAGTGACACCCTAATCTCTTTCAAAGCATCCAGTAAATATGTCAACAAGATTAGTGCCAGTCCAACAGGATAAACAGGATTTAGTATTCCCCTCTGTCTAGCCATCCATTTAGCTTAGGACACAACCAATCGTGTATCAACCAATCACATTCCTTTCTATTGTTTAAATTTTTGTTAAATACATACTGTAGGCAGGTTTTAGGGAGAGAAGGGGTTTGACCAACTTACCAAGCAGACCTCTCTCCCACAGCCCAGAGTGTTGTACCGACTCTCTGTGGCACCCTCAGTTATTATCTAAGTATATTGTTAATTGTTCTTGTAAATAAAATTGTGATTAGTCTCCTGTGACTCTGGCTCTTTGCTGACTAATTCCCCAAGAAAACCAGCACGTCATTTGGAAGGTATTGTTCACCCAGAACAGTTCCATGATAATTTGGCGGAGAATCATCGTTTTCGGAACCACAGAGTCCAGGAACTAACTACGACCAGCTACAAGAAACCCATTGGAGGACATGCCCAACCGTGATCATCTGATGGAATAACAAGCAAGCTGCATCTACCTCTGACCTCAACACTGGATTAAAGACAACCAACTCCTCCAAAGACACCAACAAAGGAAGAAAAAGTCTTCAAATATTGTAAGTAATACATTGTTGAATACTTGTCATCCTTTAATTTAGTACGGTACATACTAATAGGTGTCATGGCAAATATGGAGTCTGGAATGGAAAGTAACTTTGAAAGTGAAATTCCAACAGTGTCTTTAGTTACGCCCCTTGCCAACAGTGTAATTCAGGCAAAATTTGGCACAAAAACAACAAATTGTTTAGTAGATACAGGGGCATCCATTTCTTGTATTTCGTCTGCTTTTCTTAGCACAGCTTTTGAAAACCTTACTCTTGGAAACTCACCCTTTCCACAGGTCAAAGGTGTTGGCGGCGAATTGCATAAAGTGTTAGGTTCAGTTGTGTTAGATTTTGTCATTGAGGATCAGGAATTTTCTCAAAGATTCCACATTCTGCCTACACTTCCAGAGGCAGTGATACTAGGTGAAAACTTCCTTGATGACAATGATGCAGTCTTAGATTATAGCTGTCATTCCTTGATACTTAACAACAGCACCTCAGACAGGCAATATATCAATTTCATAGCCAATTCAGTACAAGAGATTAGTGGATTAGCAAAAACAATAGATCAGATTTACATCCCCCCTCAGAGTGAAATTCATTTCAAGGTTAGACTATCAGAGACCAAAGAGGACTCCCTCATCCTCATTGAACCCATTGCTTCCCTCACTGCTCATTCTGAAGTAGCAGGTGGTAGAACTCTTTCCAAAGTGAAAAGCAAAACTGCTACATTTAGGCTTATGAATCCCTCCCAAGAAGAAAAGGTTCTTGACAAGGGTACAGTTGTAGGCAAATTTAGTTACATTGAACAGGGCTCTGTTTATGAAATCGACTCTGACCAACCATTCATCAGTACCGTTCACACCACTGAGAAGAGAGCCAATGACACCAGGGATTATGTTAAAATTGCACAAGAATTAGGATTTGATTTGACCAATACACAACTGACTCCAGACCAACGACACAGACTACTTAGATTTTTGGGACAAAATAGAAACATGTTTTCAACGAGTCTTGCAGATTTAGGTAAGACTGACATGCACCAACATATCATTGACACTGGCAACCACCAACCCGTTAAGAGTAGACCATATCGTCAATCTCCTCATCTCCAAAAAGTCACTGAAGAACTTATAGATGATTTTCTAAAGTATGATTTGATCGAGGAATCTACTTCTATGTATTCAGCTCCAATTATCCTAGTCAAAAAACGTGATGGCTCATATAGATTTGTTTGTGACTACAGAAAGTTGAATTCTGTCACTTTACCAATGTCTTGGCCTCTTCCTGTTTTTGATGATGTTATTGATAACATCGCCAATGCACATGCTAAGATCTTCTCAACTTTAGACCTTGCTAATGGCTTCTTCCAAGTGCCATTACATGAAGATTCAAAGCATAAAACTGCTTTCGTCACCCATCAAGGCCTTTATCAATTCAAACGATTGCCCCAAGGTTTGACTAATTCTCCACTTTGTTTTCAACAGCTCATGAGCAAAGTGCTACGAAAATTGCTTTTTAAGGTTGCGCTGATATACATTGATGATTTGATAATTTACAGCAAAAAACTTTGAAGAGCATCTCCAACATTTGGAGCAAGTATTTTACTATCTGAAACAGGCAAAATTAACACTAAAGCCATCCAAATGCAATTTTGCAACGGACAAAGTTTCTTTTCTGGGTCATGTTTTATCATGTGGAGGTGTTCAAGTTGATGACAAAAAGATTGAAGCAATTAGAACCTTTCCAGTGCCCAAGTCACAAAAGCAGATTCGCTCCTTCTTAGGTCTCACGAACTTCTACAGGAAGTATGTGAAAAATTACGCTCACATAGCGCTTCCACTGAATGCCTTGCTAAAGAAGCATTCGGAGGCAGAACTAGGAAAGAAACCAAAGTTCCAATGGTCACTTGAGTGTGATCAGGCATTCAACACACTCAAACATGCTATGAGTAATACACCTGTTCTGGCGTATCCAAATTTTGACAAAGAATTTCTTCTTGCAACTGATGCCAGTGATATGAGCATAGGTTTTGTTTTGAGTCAAAAAGACGAGAAAAATAATGAACATCCAATAGCTTTTGGTGGTAGAGCTCTTCATGGCAGCGAAAAGAACTGGAGCATTACAGAAAAGGAAGGCTTAGCTCTAGTTGAAGCCATTAGATCCTTTCGTCCATACCTTGCAAATTCCAAATTCACAGTCTACACTGATCATATAGCATTGAAGTGGCTGAAATCCATCAAGGATGCCACAGGTAGGTTAGGACGATGGTCTTTGGAACTTTCTACCTACACTTTTGACATTGTTCACCGCAGCGGCAAAGCCAATGGGAATGCTGATGCTCTGTCACGTAGGGAATATGAGGAAAATATTAACTGTAATGATC